TAAGAAAACAGCATAATGGTCTGATGATGTATGTTTTTTAAATTATATTCCAAATCTTTTCAATCACTTTTATGGTACAGTGTTTTCCATTTGGGACATGTTATTACCATTTCCTGAATAAGCTTTTTCTCTGTTCAAACTCTGACTCCCCAACCCCTTACTCTGCTATACATCATATTTGTCAACGGCATTTAAGTGCAGCAAAGAAGGCTTAACATATTCAATGTGATCTGGAACTCCTACTTTTTTGTGCTTAGGAGTCTCAAGACTAAGTATGTTAAGCAAGCAACACATCTATATATGGAAAATAAGACATTCTCCCAACCAAAAAAAAAAAAAAAAAAATCCCTACCCTCCTAATTTTTTGGACCAATGTTTCCGGAACCAGACATATTTTTTTTGGCCTTAATGCTTTGCATATATATATTGAATATGAATTGATGTTGCATATAAGCTTAATTATGCTTCAGTTAGTATTTTTCTTTATTAATTGGGAAGAGGCCTGATTGTCTTATGAATTTTAGAAAAAAATATCACTAAAATTGCTAATTTAGGAAGTGAAAAGCTGGTGTTAGTTCAGAAATTTGGGAAACTGCATAATTTTAAAGAAAATTTCAATTGGAAAGAGACTTTGTTATCTTAGGTGAACAATCTCTGTCAGTGTGTAATATGGCGGATCTTCGAACAATTTCCGGAGGTCGCAGAATCACAAGAGCATTTTCCGTTCTCATTTTCATATTTGAAACATTAAACATTTTAGTGCGGAATTTGGCAGTTTTATTTAAATTGAAAGGTTCATAAGGAGGCAAAAATTGTTTAACAACTTGAGTAAGTCTAAGGATAAATCAACACAAGGGGTAAACTAACTTTTCACAGATAAAGTAGGGCTTTGGTACAAGATCTGTCAATTCCGTCTAATTTTTGTGTGAAAATATTGAAAGAATTGATAAAAGTTGAAGTGCATAATGGGCGAATTTGCACTTTTCAAAGTAAAATCACCTTATAATGTTTTAATTATTTTGTAAGTGTGCATTAAAGTTAAATTTCAAGATTTTGCCGCGCTGAATATTTAGGCAAGTTGTATATTATTCTTATATTGCCTATAATAATTTTCCTGTTTTGATGTATAAAAACAATTTGAAGATACTGTTTGTTTTTCTTATATATACAATGTTTATGTTTCATTGTTTCTGATATATACACATTTTATATGTTAACAGTTCTAACGTTCAGTTGCATGGTTAAAATTATTGTCAACAAATTTTAGTTTTTGATTATCTGTATTTAAATAAGCATTTGGGGGTGTCCGTGGCCGAGTGGTTAAGGTCGTTGACTTCAAACTACTTGCCCCTCACCACTGTGGGTTCGAATCCCGACAGGGACTTTGGATTCTTTCATGTTAGGAAGCTATCCAGCTAGCTTACGGAACGTCGGTGGATGTACTCAGGTGCCTGTTCGTGCCTGAAATAATGCACGGAAGGGCACTTGAGGTCTTCCTCCACCAGATAAAGGGGTTCCCCCGCATTGGCACTACATCAGCTTCAGCCTGTCAGATCTCCATGGTGATGGCAGAGTTCATGAGTAAGTAGAAAGAAATTTGTTGCTAGGAAACAACTTGGCATACTCAAACAGATTGAGCATTATATATAATCTGCTAAGTCTGTGCTTCAAACTCTGTCCTTTTGTCTGTGTGTCTGTACTTCAAAATGTTTCATTTGTCCATCTTTTTACATAAACCTACTCAATTAGTGAACCAAAAAGGTATTATTTTGTGTTTTATTTAAAAGGCACAACTTTGTTATGTTTACCAAGGGAATATACATAATAAAAGTCATGCTTTTTTCTCACACATGGAAAAGGGGAGGTTAGAGGTAATACCGTAGATACTGGGGTACAGATTAATTAAATGGTAATCTGGCATGATAATCCATCAGTGCTTAGACTTAGACTTTCTCTATTTATTAATTCACAGACAGACTGATGTTTTGCGTTAAGTAAAAAAAAGAGATTAGTTCAGATTTATTTGTTCTTTAATCTTAGATTGTAGTGAATGATTAAAATGTAAATAGCGAAAAATTTATGTATGAAATTTTTATGATCGCCCAGTAGAAAATAAAATGAAACTTTGTCAGAGAAGGTTTGAATGGGAAGTTACATGTATTTTAATGAGAAAAAGTCTTCTTTATGTATCCCATTAGAAATGTATTGATGTATTTGATTTGATACTTTATCAGATCTTGGGTTTATAATGGGCTACACAGATATGTTAACTTTTAGGTTACCTTGTCTATAACTGACTTCTAATTAAGTTACATGTTTTAAGAGTCCCTTAGTCATTTGCATTTTACTCGTGTTTTTGTGTTATGTTTCTGAATTTCTGTTATAATACAATAATATGTTGTATCGGCTTTTTTTCTAAAGCCTATAGGTGCTTATGAAATAAGAAGTTGAAATTTCTTGTACTTAAGTTTTAAACTGGAAAATTCTTTTTAGAAGTTTCTGAATTATAATGTCAGATAAATTTCCAAATTAAGAATTTCATCAGTGTTCCAATTACAGTACTGATTTTTAAATGTCTTTCTTTTTGAGCCAATACAAAATTTTAGTCATCTCTGTGACATATTTTTAAAAAAAAGATTTCACATATTCCCCTGTGGTAGCACTAAATGTCAAATTAAAGCTATGTTTATAGTTAAGTGCTAAAGTGTTCTAACTTCAAAACAGTTATAAGTAATAGTTATATTAGTTTGGCACTGAAGCATGAAAGTAAGCACTTTGCCTAGAAATATGATAACTTAATTGTTAATACTTTCTGTCTGTATTCACAGACCTCCTTTGTTTGATCACAAAAAGAAGTCAGTTACTGTTGACTAAACAGTTACATTTGTAACTATGGACCATTGCAGAGTATTTATTATTTACCTTTTATGTTTTATACAGTGTACAATGTAAATAAATAATACCCCGTTGTTTAAATCTATTATATATATATGTATTAAATTAAAGGTGTCCATGCAGGATATTTTATCAGTACGTTTCAGTACACTAAAAGAATAAAAGGGGAAAAAAGTATGACAGGAGTTACTGTCATTTATTTTATATAATGACCACCCCCTGTTTGTATGTATGTATGTATTACAACACCCAATGTACATACCCTTGTGAAGTGTCCTAAATTTATTTTTGACTCATCTTCAGACATTTACCTGAAATTAATGATACCTGTTCTGATTAAGAAACAATTTGCTGTATCATTATGAGACATAGTTAATCAAGACAGCCATCTTGCTTTTTTGGACTGTCTCGAGTCTTCAGGGGGCTTGGGTAAATCGGTCTACCGCTTGTGTAAATGGGTTTACTTAAAGACTGTAGCATTATCTTTACATATTAATTAGATATTTCACTATCAATTTAATTTGTAGTCATTAATTTTTGAAGGCCGGAATGTATTATTGTTTTGGGTATCGGATCTCCCTTGGTTCTCAGTTCTTATTCAGTTTAACTTGTACTGAATTACTAATATGAAAAGGAACAACTCTACTAAAGTGATGACATAAGATATTACCAAAATTTCTAAACTTAAAGTTTGATTCTTTTATTATGATATTTATTTAATTTTTTGATCTTGAAAATTAGTTCTGTTTAGAAATTTTATAGTAAGATAGAGACATCAGAATAATAAAATGGCCCCTCCTCCTAAGGGTGAGTGAAGGATGAGGGGCATTATTGGAGTAAAGCCGGAGGCTGAGCATGTACACACTAGCATGTTATCTTGACATTGAAATAGCCATCGCTGGTTTAAAAATAGAATAAAACTGTCACCAAGTCACATGACATACCCCTGATAAATGTAACCGCATTAGAACCCGCAACTCATATTTTAAAACCTGTTGTTTGTTGTTGGAAAAAATCTCACACAATGGGAGGGAAACAGGGAAGGGTGTGTACATGCTCAGCCTCCGGCTTTACTCCAATAATGCCCCTCATCCTTCACTCACCGTTAGGAGGAGGGGCCATTATTTTACGTAAAGCCTTTGGCTTTCACATGTACACACTAGCATCTTTAAAAACCAACAACAAACAAAAACATATGATATACAAAAATAAAATATCAAACAGAAAATAATATGAACTTTCAAATGAAACAAATAACTTTATTCATTACTCACAGTTACTGTAAACAAATAATACAATATCCACCATGATAAAGGAAAATAACACCTTTAATTAAACACAGCATCTGAAAAAGATTTTTCATTTAATGAAACTCTATTATAGAATTTATAAAAGTTTTTGTCTGACTTCCAATCAATTGTACGCAAAATAGTTCTTAAAGAACACCCTTTACTGAAAGCTGCTGAAACTGATGCACCTCTAAAACTATGTGCCTTAAATATTGAAATATTTATTCCAGACAGTTCTAAAACTGTTCTTAACCACCTTGCTATTGTAGTTGTAGTCACAGAGTTATGAGTAACATATGAAATAAAAACTTGTTGAGATTTCCTGATCTCTTTAGTTTCTGAAATATAATGCAACAAAGTGTGCATGACACATAACGCCTCATTACTATAATGCTCCAGACAAAGGGAAAAAAGACTGTCCTTTTTTAGAAGTTTTTAACAATTTTGGAAAAAGAAAAACAATACGCAAACTTTCTATAAACATGTGCTTTAACGATAAAGCCACCATAGTCTGTGCTCTAGGAGCTGCTGCTAGTGCCACAAGTGCTACCACTTTAAAGGTTAAAAGCTTTAAAGGCAATTTTTCTAAAGGCATTAAAGAAGACAAATACTTTAAAACAATTGTCACATCCCAAGTAAAACGATATTTTGGTTTAGGTGGTGTTGTCATAAATATTCCTTTCATAAATCTGGGAATTAAAAAACACTGTTTACACCATTTGTTTCCGAAAAATGGTAAAGTTTGAAGCAACATTGCTTTGTGTAGGTTAATAACTGAATAAGACTTTTTCTGTTTATACAAAAAACCCAAGTAATTTAACACTTCAATTTCAGACGTACAAATGGGATTTTTACTCCTGAAAGTACACCAAGTATGCCATTTTTCCCATGCAAATCCATATTGCTTACCAGTACCTGCTGACCATGAGCTGATAACTGTGTTAATAACTGTCTTTGAAGCTCCTGTGTGACAGAGGGCTCTCCTGATACACAAACTGCGAAGATCTTCATCTTCTTGATGAGAGGATGTTGCTCCCCATTGTGAGGCAAAGTTAGTAAGTCCCTGTGTCTGGGCAGCCTAACAGGAAGAGAAGTAATTCTTTCTAATAAAACAGGAAACCATGCCTGAGCTCTCCAAAAAGGAACAATTAAAATAGCTTTTTCTACACTATCCTGAACAATTTTGTTCAAAACTTTTGAAATAAGACTGAATGGTGGAAAAATATATGGCTTAAATGGTTTCCACGACAATGAAAATGCATCTACATGGAAAGCCCCCGGTTCAGGGAACCATGATATAAACCTTGATAATTTCTTGTTTAACCTTGAAGAAAATAAATCAATAGCTGGCATAAAGAAATGCGTGCAAACACGCTGAAATATATCATCTTTTAACATCCACTCTGTCGAGTCGGAAAAATTTCTAGAATAAAAATCTGCCATAACATTACATTTTCCTGGAATATGAATTGCCGAAATAAAAATGTTTCTACAAATAGACCAGTCCCAAATTTCTTTGGCCAACTGGTCCATATCAACAGAAGTCATTCCTCCCATATCATTTATATATTTTATAGCTGATGTATTATCAGACTGAACTTGTATATGTATATTCAAACAATTACTATAAAGAGATTGTAAACCATAAAAAATTGATAAAAGTTCAAGATAATTAATATTATTCTGAGCTTCTTGAATTTTCCATCTACCACCAGCGTGTCTTTCGGAATTAACTTCAAATGAACCCCAGCCAAGATTACTCGCATCAGAGCTAAAACATTTTTCAACAGCAGGTGGTCTTATTAATTTACCATTTTTACTTTTAACATTATTTTTCCACCATGTTAATTCTAATCTACATTTCCCTGACAAATAAACCTTATTGTCAAAACAATTATCGCAACCCAAACCTTCAAGTTTATTTCTTTCCATATTTCTATAAAATAAAGGTGCCTCTAAAATAGCATAGAAAGCATTAATAATTAAACCAATAAACGAAGCTAGGGTTCTAACAATAACAACCTTAGATTCAAGCAAATCCTGAGCATTTTTCTTTATCTTTTCCACTTTTTCATCCGTCAGAAAACTTTAAATTGTACTGAATCTATGATTAAACCAAAAAATTTGATTGTTTTAGTAGGAATCAATACTGATTTTTCCCTGTTAATAGTGAAACCAAGAGATATCAAAGTTTCTAACATGTATATAGTATTTGCTTGACAAATTTCTCTATTCAAATGCATATTCAAGGAGTCATCAATATAATATGAACATCTAAATCCCCTTTGTCTAAACATAGCATAAACTGGCCTAAGAATCTTTGTAAAAACATAAGGTGCAGACTTAATCCCAAAAGGTAATGCTATAAACTTGTACAAAATTCCATTCCAGGAAAACTTTAAGTACTTTTGAAAATTTTCATGTATAGGAATACTAAAATAAGCATCTGTCATATCGACGCTAGTCATGTAATCATCACGCTGAATAAGATCTAAAACTACCTTAAAGGTTTCTTGCTTAAAATGATTATAATGAATGAACTCATTTAAATATTTCAAGTTAATGACTGGTCTAAATTTCCCATTAGGTTTTGGCACAATAAAAATTGTGGAAATAAACTGATTTGGTTCGGCAGTTGAAGGGATAATAGCTCCCTTATGTAATAATTGTAAAACCTCGTCATTTACAATCTGCCATTGTTCTTGGCAAAAAGGAATTTCTATAGGAATTTTATCCTGAAATGGTTGCTCATCAAAATGAATACAATAGCCACTTATTGTTTCAAGAACCCAAGCTTCATTTGTGATTTCTTTCCATTTTTCTACACAAAATTTAGTTTTACCTACAGATTTTATATCACTTACCTGTTTAATTAGGCTTGATCGTTTGGGGAGCGTGAAGCTGTAGCAGTGGCAGTCTTCCTGCCTCTACCCCTATAATACGGCTGCCTTCCGGCATAATTCTTCTGATATGATGACTGGCCATACATGGATTGACCATACGAAGGATACGGCTGAGACCTGACGTTTTGATATACAGAATGCTGATTAAAGAAGCCTCTACGAGGCGCTCTTCCATAGCCATAACCTCTTCCCCTAGGATGAAATCTCTGCTCCTTTCATATATAACTTAAAGCATCACAGTTCTTAATTTCCTTTGCCAAGTCATCACCAAACAATTTATCTGTAATCGGCGTGTTAACATTACACAAATTAAAATACTTCTTTTTTAAATTCGGTCTTATCATATACCTTCTACGAAGGGAAATATTTAATTGAACCTGTCCTAATATTGTTAAAGCCTCAGACAGCATAGTTTTAGCCTCAACATTAGAGTTAATATGAGGTTTAAGAATTTCAGATAACCTTATAATAGGTACAATACTAGAAGCTACAAGTGTCTGTATATCTTGGAAAGATCTATCCTGCCCCTGTGTCTTCTTATCCAAGATTTTCCATATCTCCTTATTCACAGAAGGGGAACCAATATTAACACAGTTTTCTGGAATTTTGTACTTCTGAACAACAGAGTCAATATCACACTGTTCCACACAGGCAGTATTAATCAAATTTGCCAATAAACTATTAACTGGTTTACTCTTTTCCGGGGCTTTCAGCTTCGGAAGATCCCAATCTCTCTTCTTAGTCAGACTCTTTATCAGAATCATCAAATAATGCATCAATCATTCTGCTTGACAAATTTTTATTACACGGTTTCTTCTTAAAATGTTCATTTTCTGAAACTTCGACGTGAATATTAGGGAAATTTTCTAACGCACCTAACGGTGACTGATAATACATAGCTTCCTCTGAATCATACTCTGGCACCACGTGCTCTTGGGGATAGTCAATTCCCAGGGTTAGAATTTAGCAAGATTTTCTACTTGCAGATTTTTGCAAGTGCTCAAATGTTTAACTGGCAATATGAGGTAGTCAACTGGCATTTCCATGATCACATATCTTATTATTATTATTATTATAATACACCATGACAATGTATTTTGAACATCTGTTATGACAAATGATAATAAGCTTAAATGTCTATTGAATATCAGAAACATTTTTATCACTGGTAAACACAGATGTCTTTTTGTAACGAAACAAAAACATTTCAGCACATTAATTTATAAATGATAAACAATTGTTTATGGATCAGATTAGATATAACAGAGGAACACCCACTGGTAACAACATACCGTTATAAACTTTTTCATGTTATGTTATTTCTTAGGACCTTCATTAATTTTAGCATATTTTGTACTTGATTACACCAACAGCCTGAAACTTCAGAGGTAGTGATCTACTTAAAATAAATAAATATTTCAGCTTAAAAGTAAACACTTTACAGAGGAGCGCTTCGCATTTACATTCAGTGTGGCCATACCACGTGACATTGATGTCATTTTCGGCATCATTTCCAAGACAAATATTGCTCGATTCGGACAAGAAAATAGTCATAAATATTTTATTTCTGTACCAATATCTTTGGGATATGCACCAGTCTACGGGGAAAAATATAAGCTTTCCACAGAATATTGGATATTCGTCAGTTTATAAGCCATTTTATCAAACACTTTGCATAACCTTGAAAGTTGCTTGTATTAGAGCGGGCTTCAGTTGCAAGCTATTTCGTTTTCTGGCGTTATCTGGTCTACGCCATGAATAAAAAGTCAGGTTTACATCAACCGGGAGTACGGAAGGCAAAACTCTACCTAAATATGTTCATATTTTTATTATGAATGACATAAATCTTACATTTTTCTTCAATTGTCAATTCTGGCACCAGTTCCAAGTCGAAAAAAGGACTACAGTTTAAAGCAGATTTTAGAATCCGTTGCAAATGCAAAGCAACATGCCTACCATTCTCTTTCTATAATTATGTTAACCATGAAACACATTTTATTTACTATACGATTTACATAAACACAAATGAATATTTAAATGATTTTTACTCGCTGCGCTATAAGTGATTTTAAAAGTCGTAAAATTGTTGTCTGTATTTGTAAAGCAATTGATTTGCTCTTTAATCATTGTTCTTTTACGGTAGGTAATGATTATGAAAAATCTATTTGTGTCATGTAGCAATACTAAACGTGGAATAGAAAACAGAAACCCTAAATATCGCCCAAAACGGCAAAATTGAAAATTTTGATTGACTTAGCTAGCCTGTCCAATGAACGTGCACATTCAGGATCACTTTGACTTGTATGCTCCGAATAAGGGTTACGCCTCAACGCGGCAATTTTAAAGTAAAAAAAGAGCTATTTATACGTATAACCATATACATGTATATATAAAGAACCTGTAGCAATTTTTTAGTATGATAGATTCAGATTTTTAACACAGTGGCACTCGTTGATAAAAAATATTTTTACATCCTGTTTTCATACCCACGGTAACTGTTTTTCGTGAACTGGATATAACTTCGTTAACTTAAGAACACTATTAAATACTATCTATTTTATAATTGCTCTAACCAGTAGTGTTTGGCTTTTATAAATAGTCCATCAAAATATAGTCACAGAAAAAATAAATAGAGCAACCAAAAATTGATTTTTAAGTTTTTAAGGTAAACATCATCAGTTACTGCATCTGGCACTGTAAACATCATCAGTTTCTGCAGCGGCCATTTGCCAAGCATCATCATCAGCTCAGAAGATAACAATTATGTAAACGTCCAAAATAAACAGTCACTTGCAAATAAATGCCAGCTGGAGTAATTTTTACTGGCACTGTTAGATTTTAACTGGCATTTTGCCAGTATGCCAGCTTAAATTCTAACCCTGTAATTCCTAAGGCCTGCCTCAACGAGGACAGGTCAGACAAAGACAACTTCGATACATCAAAATTCATACCTGAACTTTTCTTCTTCGTTGTTTTTCCTTTCTTCTTACTTTTAGACTTAGAGTCTTTATCCTTCAGTTTCTTCGAAACTTTGACACGTGGTATAGTAAATCTAGAAGATTCTGCGTTATTTACGGTATCTTCCGGAATAACAATAGTACTGTTATTTTCTTGAACAGACTGTTCATTATCACTACGCAAATTAGCGTCACTAAATCCAGAAAACTCATCCGAGTCTTCTCCACCGGACAAAAAGTCCGCCATGTTGTCTGCTTCACCAGAAGCTCGGCTCATATCTACGATATGTCCACAAATACCGGTTACCACACCGTAAGGTGGTAAAAATACACAAACACAACAACAAAATAATAAAAATAAAATCCAAATAATATCCCGAAAACACATTAAAATATTGAAAACCAGCGAAACATCAGACTATTAAAAACGGCGTGACTGCCTTCATGCGTCGCCAAAATAACTATGAGTTGCGGGTTCTACTGCGGTTACATTTATCAGGGGTATGTCATGTGACTCGGTGACAGTTTTATTCTATTTTTAAACCAGCGATGGCTATTTCAAGGTCAATATAACATGCTAGTGTGTACATGTGAAAGCCAAAGGCTTTACGTAAAATAATGTGCATTATCTCCTACGATTTTAATCGTATGGAAGGGGGCGGGATATTATATATATATATATATCAGATTTTTTTATTAATATAATTACAGTATCATAGAGCTGATTAATATTGAATTCTGATTTAATAAGAACTACATTTTATTTCTTCTATAAACCTTTAAAAGAACGAAAACAAAGCACAGGGCATAATTTTCTGATTCAAAAAAAAAATTTTTTTATCCAGACCATGAAAAAACATTTGAGTAGGGGCAAATTTTATGAGTCGGTCGCGTTATTGCAAACAAACATTTTTTTAAGGATGGCCTTATAAATCAATAAAAGTAATAGTTTGTTAATTAGCCTGCTTATCAACAAGTTGTATGCTCCTATCATAAACTGTGTTTACACTAAGCCAGTCTGTCCTATATACACTTAGCAGACCAGATCATGCTGGGCAGAGATGATATCTAT